TTAATTCATGGTTAGTGAGTGTAAATGAACATTTAATAGTAGTGGAAGTGGTGAAAAAATATTAAATTAAAGAACACTTATGTTACGTCCAATGCACTAAATAGAATCAACTCCATCAACATACACTCCTGTTGCTCAGGATACTGATGCCAATTGAGGTAAATTAAACCTTATGTTGGCGGAATTTAACGAAAAAGGGAAATGTTAAAGTAGGTTATTGTTATAAGTCAAAGGCAGAAAGGACCTCTAAAAACAGCCCTGCCGACATGCTTAAGCTCTTTTTCAAGTACTACCGTCAGTTCGATGGCAAATACTACCAACAAGTAAAGGGCACCACACCGGGCTCGCCAATATCGGATTTACTTGCCGAACTAGTCCTATGGCGAGTGGAAGAGGAAATTTTACAAACTCTCAAACCGAAGATCTACCTTAGCTATGTAGAGGACGACTTCGTTATCATAAAGGCTTGAGACGTTGAACAAATGCCCCAGAGTCTAATTTGGGTCTTCCCAGCAATGTAATAAACCCACGAAGATGCAACAGTAGATACCCTTCCATTCCTGGACACAAGAATACAACGATTCCCTGATGGTCAACTCGCAACAAGCGTCAATTCGAAGGACTCCAGGGGGAAATAATCCTTAACTAAAAAAGTAACCAAACTGTGGCCCATAAAAGGACCTCTTTCTACTCTTTCTAAAGGGCCCACGTCTTCCGCAGTAGTGATGATTTGCTCAAGAAGGAACTTACAAAAGTTCTTCCGGTCTAATGGATATCCAACTAGCTTCGTTAAAAATTGCCTCAGACGTCGGAAACAAGCATAAAACCTCCTTCCTAATGGAGATATAGTGCCTTACCTTACATGAAAGGAGATTCCGAAACCAGCTTCCAACAACTTAGTCGCTTCGGCATATCCGTCGCCCACAAGCTCGCATCGTCCCTTCGTGCAACCCTTCGTTGTTGATTAAAAGACCCCTACTCAAAGAACAGCAAAGCAAGGTTGTTGACCGCATACAGTGTGTCAGTTTTCCTTGTGTTTACGTTGACCATACAGGGCATCGTCTCGTGACTCATATCAACGAACATAAGTTAGCCATTCGCCGACGGAACTTTTTCTCCCTCGTATTTGCGCACTCCCTTAACTATGGCCGCCGCTTCAGTTGTAAAGGCACCGAGGTTATCGCCATGGCCAACACAAGAAAAACGAGAGAATTCCTCGAAGCTTGGCACTCGAGCCCGAC